ATTATTATTATATACATTTATAAAATATTTAAAAAAATTTACTGTACTAAATTTAGTACAATAAAAAAGTGTAAAAATTTTTTATACTCAAGTTTAATTTATACAAAATTTTGTATATAAATACTAATTAATTTTTTGTATAAATATTATTTAAGGTTTAATTTATATTTTAGCAAATTATAAATAAAATTAATTGTATTGCCATTGAGTTATGATTTTTTCAAACTGTACTAAATTTAGTACAAAAGGCTAACGGATACCCATTAATTAAAAAAAATAATAATAGTGTTTGATAAAAGTTAACAAAATATTTGAATTTTGTTAAAATAATATTGTTCAAAAATTTGTATATATTTTTAATAAGAAATATTTATAACAAATTATTAAATTTTGTTAATACAACTATGTGTATAAAACAAAAAATTGTTGTAGTGCCTATGCCATCACATGGCATTTTTTCTGTGTAACACAATCAACAGGGATAGATTTACACAAATTCAAAATCTAAACTAATTTCTCATCTTGAACTAATTTTTCAGCAAATTTAGTTTCAGGATAGAGCTGAAACAATTTTATCATGTTTGCAATTAGATAATTAGAACCAATCTTAGTAATTTTCGATTGGATATCTTCACTCAAATCAGTTTCAACAAGGTCAGATCCAGTTAAGCGTTAAGAAGTATAATAGAAAAAGCTTATCAATAGAATGATTGAAAGAATCAAAAATATTATTTGATTCACTGATGGTAATCATTAGAAAGTTTCAAAAAATTATTGGAACCATAATCAATCTTCAAACTATTGTAAACCGAAAGTATAATCTGGATAGGAAGAATTATGCACTTGGACGTAATTATCAACCTCTGATTTCTTAGTTGGTCTAGGGGAGTCAGATAGTACGTATATAATTTTAATAGTGGCTGACTCTCCCCTCCCTCCACATAAGACATTTATATTAGCCGGTCTTATATATCTTTATTATGGTACGTAAGAGATCTCTGACCCCTCCCCCTTATCTTTAAAAAGATAAGATGATTTGCACTGTTTCTTGGAAATTTCATCGAATCTTAATCCAGAATGGTCGACCTTTGAATCAATTCTTCAATGTCAGGTATTGGATTATATTAATATGCTTCGGCACGTTTCTCGAACATACATTGTATCTTTAATATTTTTCAGGTCAACCATTCATATTCACCATCAATAAAGACAGACACATTGATATAATCTATAAATTATCGCTTCTTTATCAACGTTATACAGAACCATATCGAATGGAGGATTTCGACGGTAGAGGTTGTTCCTATTGAACAAAGCCCTAACCTATGAACTCTTACATAGTTTTTTAGAGTCAGTGTAAATAATTATTACCGAAAAAAAGAATACACGTTGGTATATGTATAGGTCACAGTTCTTCCAGGCTATCTGAACTGAAAGTCTGAAAAAAACTATAGAAGACTACTACAATGGGTATACATAATATTAATCTATACTGTGATTAGTCCCACTTTTATAAATTCAAGGATATGCGTATATTATCATCATTGTATCCGTTTTATAATTGGGCTGAAATTTGGGATTTTGCTTTGCCGTGTCTAGAGTTTTACCAGAGTTTGGAGTTATAGCGATGTGTTCACCTGATTATTTTATAATATTCATTATAAAGCTTTAACTAGCGGGTATTATGTAAAGAGCCGCAACGGATTCAATATACAGTATATATCCAGTGCATAACACTATCTATTTGTATATCGATATAATCATGTGTTAAATCATGTGCCCATAACATCTACAGCAGCTATAAAAATAATAAACAAAAGATGAATCCACTTATATTTTTATTTAGGACAGTGAGATATGTTAATATATGGTCTAGGGACTATCACTAGTTAAATTTTTATCTAAGGCAAAAGAAATCCACATGATGATCTTATAAATTGACAATTTAATCTTATCGCATTGGTATAACGAGCATGTCTAAACAAAAAACAATCTCAGAGACACCACCTTCACCGATCTATATATTTCGGGGGCATGCAGAACAAATTAATAGTTTAGAGTTCATTGAAAATAATAGATATCTTATTTCAGGGTAAGAAAACCATAGTAATATAATCGTGTGGATTCTTCTATTTTGTAATTAATGAGATTGATATATTTTTATAATTTTTGATTGTTATCATTTAAGAGATGCGGAAGGAAATATTATTATATGGGACATGATATCGAGGCGTCCGAAAGTCCAGTTTAAAGCACATAATGATGGAATTTTGAGTATTGCAAAGTTTAAAGACAAATTGATCAGGTAAAGTAAGCATGAAATTTTCTAACTTATCTAAATTCACAAGTTTTTAATTTGTTTAAAGATTATTTAACTTGAATTGGCGAATCATTGTATTTTAATCAATTAGTCATGGTCGAGATGATACTTTACATGTTTGGGTGTTTGATCAATTGTCAAATGCTAAGGATGGAGACATTAAAGAATTAATAAAACCTGAAATAAGTTTAACAGTAAATTCGCTAAATTTTTGTAAATTTGATTTTTGCTATGAAGGTAGGATTAATCGTATTTATCTTAAATAGGGTATGAATTTTGGTAAATATTCAATTTTAA